CACGCGAGATTAACCTACACTCCTGCATGCTAGGATTGTCTGTCTCTTGGTCTCTCGGTCTTTTAGTCTCTCTTGGTTTTCTTGGTTTTCTTGGTTTTCTTGGTTTTCTTGGTCTCTTGGTCTCTTGGTCTCTTGGTCTCTTGGACTCTTGATCTCTTGATCTCTTGGTATCTTGGACTCTTGGTCTCTTGATCTCTTGGTCTCTTGGTCTCTTGATCTCTTGGTCTCTTGATCTCTTGGTCTCTTGGTCTCTCTTAGTCTCTCTTAGTCTCTCTTAGTCTCTCGGTCTCTCGATCGTGTGACAAAGGTACGACAAATAGTAAATTCGCAGCGCCGTCGTCGTCAAAAATTGCAATTCGCATCGCGCACTAGACCATCGCAAAGCATTGTCTCGGCGTCGCGTTGCACCATGTGCTCGGCTGTGGACAAGACGGTACAAAACAGCTCGACCGATCGATTCGTATTCTTCGATAGCGCCGGCTTCTGGATGGACGCGGAATACGATTTCCGAAGCAGGTACAAATCCGAGTAGCGCGCGCGGATTTGCCAGGCCACGCAATTTATGCGTCGCGGCGTCGAACCGTAAGAGCACGATGTTACGATGTTACAGTATTACGACGCTACTACAATGTTACAGCGTTACGGCGTGTTACAGTCGACTATAATGATCGACGCGTCGGTAGAGAAGGACTATCGCGTTGCGTCGCGGGCCTCGCGGAGAGAGACGAGGAGCGGAATACGAGAACAGAGGCATCGGTATGTGCGCGCAAACAATCAATTAATGCCGATGTCGTTGGCTCGAGTATATCTGCTAGCCTTCTTTTTTCTCTCCGTTGTCGAATATCGAGATCCACGGCGCTCGGTATTTCTCGATCGATCGATCGATCGAGCCACCGTTTCGATCGCCGTTGAAAATAAAAAATTATCCGCGTTTCTCGAACGATGAACGCCTATTAAATCAACCGAAATAATGAACGTTAAGCAATAATAATAAAAGTAATAATAATAATTATTATTATTATATATATATACCCTTTCTTACGGAAGAAGTAAAACGAAAGAAATTTTGTATAGGCGTCGCGCGTCGTACACGGTAAATATTGTACAACGATACGATGCAAAAGCGAGAAGAAAAATAAGAAATAGTGTGTAGTAGATATAGCAAATGTGTACGGTACAGGAAAATATAATAGATAACAGATTTTATCTTACGTACAAGTAGTGCTGTTGACGAAAAAAAAGGAAAAGATTACAAAAGAAAAATTGATAGAATAAGGGAGATAACCGTAACACGATAACCGAGCGCTCGAAAAACGAGTACGAACCGTGAAAATAATTAAGAAAGAGTAATTTGCGCGAACCGGTAAACGATCGAAACGATTGCGATCGATTTCGGTGAAATTTCGGAAGAAAGGCGGAAGAATGCCTGATGGAACGAGACGGTGCATAGAAATTTAATTTATTCAAAATATAACGGATAGTTGTCACGACGATTTAGCAAATAAATAATAAGTCTGCAACGGTGCGACGTTGATCGAGCGTCGCTGGTCGAAGCGAATGGAGCATGCGATCGTAATCGTGGTAAAGAAACGACATAGGTGTGCCCCGGTATACATCCCCCCCCCCCCCCCCCCCAAAAAAAACA